TAGAATCAAATTGTGCCCATCTGCTCATTAGCAAGATGTAAAGATCTGATAAACTTACACAGAATATTTGGTCTTCTGTAACTGAATAGGCATGAATGCAAAATTACACATTCTTTCGTCTTTAACATTCAGTAATACAGAGTAAAATTATCTGGCTTGATCCGAATTAGAATTAGGCATATTACACATGTATTATCTTTGTTACTTCACTACTTACAACACTCTCATACAGATTTCGTGTATAACTCATGGAAATGTTCAATACACACGTCAATCAAACTACACATATTAGAATATTAAGATAAGTAACACAAATCATGATTAAAACCTACAGTTGAAAATTACAAGACTATATGCTGCGTCTACCAGTACGAAACCAGCTAAATTTTAGTCATTAAAATCAACCGTCTGGACATTACATTAAACACAATATGCTAGAGTTGTTCGAAGAAATTAATCACACACACACAGACACACTTACAACCTTTAATCCCGTAACAACCTCTGTTTTTTTAATAATCGATAAAAAAGGAGAAAACGAGACAGTTAAAGTAGAAATGCTAGTCGTGGTAAGATTAGGGGGGGGGGAGGCTGGTCAGTGGAGTCTGGTATGGGTTTCCTCTTACCCCGCCTGCGATGTTTCTCCCAGGGAACTGTTGGATACTGCAGAACTGCACAATGACAGCAATGAGATAGAGCAGAGTGGTAATGGCGGTGTTGAGCAGCTCCTGCAAGAGAGATATGTCCTTCGTAGCGGCTAAAACTTAAGCGTCGAGGAACAGGTCTTTGGGACCTTTGAGGAAACGGAGTGTGTGGTGTGGAACCAAAGAGAATTAATGATAAAAAAAAAATGAATAAAGGGAGGTAAAGGGTCACACCAGAACACCCCCGAGGGCGGAAGACCGAGAGGTACAGAGGAAGCAAAGTGTCCCCCGAGAGCAGCGGCCCGAGGAGCGTGTCGAAGCCAGGTCAGTCAGTCAACCTAAGGGGAGGAGGAGGAGGAGGTGAGGCGTAATCTACACACTATACTTACCCCCGACAATATGTAGAAGGGTTTCAGGCGACTCGGTGGCCGCGGCTTTGTGACAGAGCTGATTAACTGGACAATGCTAGCTATTATGTAAAGCACCGCAAAGAGAGCTGTTAGAATGAGTTCCTGCAAGCAAGAGGGAAGGGAAAATTAGCACACAATACTGCAACAGGAAATCAAACACAAGCTCGGGGTTCTGCGCACACGGGGAGGTGGTAATCGCCATGCTATCAAACAGTTTAATTTGAAAAAAAAAGGATAACAACAATGATCATTAACAAGTGACTGTAGTACTAGCAACAAACAAGATGAAATAAAGTCTTGTCAAAATCCAACATGAACATAGGAATGCTTTCCATGCAATCTAATTGAATCCAAACTCATAACAGGAGAAAAAAAATGTTTATATACATAAATGCACAGCAGTTTTACAAGCCTTACTATAAGAACACTGACTCAGCCAAGTATCTTAACCCTTTTTTTTTCCCTTTTCTTCTTCATCTTATCCTCTGTGTTGTGTGATTTCCTGTTCCAATCTAAATGGAATTCAAAAATAAAATACTAATGGGTGTGATAAAAGTACCAGACTAAGCTTCAGATCCAGAAACCCATACGAGTATAAATCTTACATTCACAATATTACTGAAACATTTGTTTTACTGCAAAGAGCAACACTCCAAAAACAGAACAAAAGCAACACAATCGAATTACAAGAAAGAAGATGACAATTCCATCATTAAAATTAGTCTATATTATGTACATCAATCAGCATGATCACTTTATAATGTCGCTAAAACCAAACGACAATTTCTGAATAATGAAAAAGTGATTAAGTGTGAATGGGCAAGAGAATGTATGATTCATGTACAGTTCCTGGATGTTTGTTTAAACCCAGATTCCGTCACCTTATGTTAGTTATTTCCCCATTTAACGTTATGTCTAATTCTTCTAATGGTCTCCTAAGGTTTCTCTTCACTAGTCTACAGCTAACTATTATTTTAGGTTTAATTACCAATGAACCATAAAGAAAATGATGTCAATAATAACATTTTTAAAAATTATGTACTAAGAAGGTCTCAGCACTGCATATTATTTCCTAAAGTTTATGAACTATTGTATCTGTTAATAAGAAAAAATATACATGAACTTTTTAAAATGAAAATATCAGTTCTGAAACACAACAGATCTATTTAACTATCATTTTAATTACATGTTTTCATTCTATATCTGCTGTCATCTAAAGGTAAATAGTTATCTATCAGAAATGTTCTCTCTCTCTCTCTCTCTCTCTCTCTCTCTCTCTCTCTCTCTCTCTCTCTCTCTCTCTCTCTCTCTCTCTCTTCTCTCTCATCTCTCTCCTCTCTCTCTCTCTCCTCCTCCCTCTCTCTCTCTCTCTCTCCTCTCTCTCTCTCTCCTCTCTCTCTCTCTCTCCTCTCTTTCTACTCTCTCTCTCTACCTCTCCCCTCTCTA